AACCAGATAATAAGTTAAGATAATAACCCTCCACCAATAGACAGAAGAGCTGTTGCTTTGTCCTGTGGAGGTAGTGAAAATGAAATCATTCTAAAACTGTGCACATAAAAAGCAGATGTAAGATGAAAGGTGTTTATTAGCATACAAGCTGATACTTTGCATTGTACACTGATTTAAGAGGTAGTTCAAACTCTTAAATATTCTAGTATTTAGCTGTGATGCCTGTCTTTAAGCCATTCATTGGCACAGTGGTAAGTACTTAGTTTTGAACTGTGGTAGTGTGACATAGATTCATCCCTCTTGAGAGTTTCACTATTCCTAGAATGACCTTCTATTAAGAATACCTGTATTTTGTGAGTATCTGTTACAATCATCTAGATAATACAGTTTGTATGCAGTAGATCTGGGTACAGGAGCTTGTGCACATAAGCAAATACATGTGTGCAGCACTTAACGCCCTTAGTTAGATTGTTAGTTCATTAGTAGGGTTAGTTCATTACTGCTTAAGTTAGTTAGAGGACTTGGAGCTTAATCAGAGATCTCTGCTAAAGCAAGGCTGGATTAGAGAGCTGTGCTCTGGGGGAAGCAGGGGTGGTGCTTCATCTCTGCTCTTAATGTGGTATTTTGATGAGGCAGCGATGTGCAGCAAAGCCACACGTGCCTGTTCAGGGGTTCATTACCACAGCTTACTCAGTAAATATATAACTCTCCGAGTGATGGTTTCCAGTCCCTGCAACTTTCTTTTGAATCCAGAGCACAGTCCCTGGGTTTATAAACAGAAAGTATTTGTGTAACAGGAGGTGAGACTGGTGGGAGGGTTTTTAGGCTGACCAGATTCTCCTGTTTCCTGGGAGTTTAACCCAAATCATTCCAATTTAGTCTTATTTTTAGAGAGAGACATAACTCTTGTGCCCTCAAAAAAACCTTCAACATTTCCTTAGTCATGTCATTTCCTCTTTTTAAGTAGAGGATCATAAAACAGACTTTCCTTCATGCAAATAACAGTGCTCCAATCTGTAGGTTTCAGCTCTGATGCAGCAGTTCTGTCAGAGACCAACAGGAGGGCCTTTTTAATGGAAATTGAAAACTGAACACTGCCTCTTCTTCCGTTTCCCTTTCTGCAGGTGGAAGAAAGAACCTCAGAAACCAAACCCTACCGTTTATGCTCAGCTTTGCTACTTTCTCTATGACCTTCAGCAAATCTCTGCTCTTGTCCTTGTCATAGCTCCCAAAAGCTAACTCTGAAACAAAACTGCACTTCCAGGTTGGCTTAGTAATTAGGAGCAATCACATAATTACTAAACTGAATGTGGCACCTTTCTTATATGCCATTTCTCCTGCTTTTAGGCTACTGCAAGTCATGTAGCCAAATCAATGTTATTTCAGCTCTACCCTGTATCTGTGTAAATAGGAGTTAATGAGTTGCTGCATCTCCTGGCTGACTTGTGACGTGGAGGTCTCCAGAGGGAGGATGAGGAGAGGCTGCCATGGCAAGTCCCTGGTTGTTGCTAGGCAGCACTGCATTTTAGCTTCCCCGACTGGAAGTCTGCACTCAGGTTTGGCAAGGAAAGGGAAAACCGAGGGATGGAAAACCACACAGAGATGCTCGACTTACTTTTTGTAAAGCATTGCTTTACTGTGCTGGGTGCAGCGAGTGTGTGGCTGCAAGTGAGGTGGAAGCAATTTGATTAAATAGAACAACATTTGATAACTGGCCTTCTGTTTATTCATTTTTAGCTGCAGGATCATGCGGCTGGCTTGCTCACTGTCTGTCCTCCCTCTGTTTTGTCTGCTGTGATGTTCTTGGGATCTTGCAGTGAAGTTGGCAGTGTACAGCACAAATGGCCTTGCTCCACTTCCAGTTTAAACGGAAGTAGGAAAACCCAGCAGTTCCAGAGACTTTCCTCTGAGGCTTGTGCTCCAGTTTTACAGCCTGTGGATAAGGGGATGTCATGTCTGCATTTTACTTCTAAGCTCATCAAGAGGCACACCAAAGATCTCTATTAACTAACAAAAATTGTTATGTAGGGCATTGTGCTCTTGCTGCACATTGTAGCAACAGTGCAAATAGTGGTAAGATCCTCATGTGGTTAAAACTCATTGCAACAGCACTGCTAAAAGTGCACCTGATTTTTCTGCCAGAAATAATAGGGTTTTGGATATAGCTGAGCATGAATTCCTGGTAGAGTTGCTTGGTTGACCATCCATCCAACCATCCATCCATCCACCCATGGGCTAGTTCAAGCTTTTCAGACAGTCTTGGTTGTTGTTTTGTAATTGCTGTCTCTGTTTTTTCTTCCTATGCGTTTTAGTAGAAGGTCAGGATGAGTAAATTTAAGCTCTTGCTGCCTCAGCTAACTGATACATGGGAAATAATGTCTTTTGTTGCACTGTGATGGAGTCACTGGGGGATCTGTGGATGGGACAGGCACTGGACCCTTCTGGACTGCACTGAAGGTAGTGTGCTTGCTCCCTGGCTGACAGGGTTGTGTTTAAAGATACTTCTTCAACTGAGGATCCTGTGATGCTACTGAGGCACTATGAAGTTAGGTGTCACAGCCTTGCTCCATCCTTGAGGGTTCAGCCAAGTACCATTGCAAAGCTCATCTTACAGGAGCTTAGAGAACCTTGCTTAGGGAACTTTGAGTCTTGCCCAAAGTCACGCAGCTTGTAGTCAAATGGGATGCAGCAGGGTATGTCCTACTATAACAGTGCTCTTCCCCTCAAGGATGGGGCTTGAAAACTGAGAATCAGGACTCCAGACTGATTGCTGGACCCTACTTTGTCTCACACATTTTATCCCACCATTGGCCTTGTGGCTTGAGCTGTCTACCTTAACCTTCCTCTTCCACCCCAGCCAGCATTTCACAGCAGTCTAGAAGAAACACTTACAGAGACCAAAGCTTTGCAACACCTTGCAGCTCCTCACTTTGTCCCTCCCTGCACGCCTGGGTTTTGTCACTCCCACCAGGTTCTCCCTCCTCCTCAGTCTTTTCCACTGTGTGGTTGTGGGGGGTCTTAAAGATGGTAACCTCACAGTCAGTACCAGCCTTACAATAGCTGCCTTGCAGCCTGGTTGGGAATGGAGCCCCATGTTTTATAGGAATTCCCAGAGAATGACTTGTTTAGTTGGACAGCCCAGGCTAGGGTTAGTTAGTTCAGCAGTTCCCTTTGTCTCCTTCTACCTGGTTTGTGGGGTCCTTCGAGGTTACAAACCTGGCATGTGAGACCTGGGGACAGAGGCATCAGGCATGGCTACTGTTGAGGCCTTTGATGGATAGCAAAGACAGCATTAGGGATTAATCTGCTGAAGGATTAAGAGAAAAAGCTCAGAATCCTTGCAGCACCTCCCTTCTCTCCCATGCCTGCTTGGCCAGTCAAATGCACTTTCCTCAGGCCCCTAACTACCTATGTACAAGTTTCGAGTCGTGCTGCACTGCATTGCCCTTCTCTTTTCCAGGCACGTCAGTGTGCCAAGGGCTGGATTTTAGATCATAGAACCATAGAATAGTTAGGGTTGGAAAGGACCATAAGATCATCAAGTTCCAACCCCCCTGCCATGGGCAGGGACACCTCCCACTAAACCATGGCACCCAAGGCTCTGTCCAACCTGGCCTTGAACACCACCAGGGATGGAGCACTCAGCTTCCCTGGGCAACCCATTCCAGTGCCTCACCACCCTCACAGGAAAGAATTTCCTCCTTATATCCAATCTAAACCTCCCTTGCTTCAGTCTGAACCCATTACCCCTTGTCCTACCACTACAGTCCCTAATGAAGAGTCCCTCCCTAGAATCCCTATAGCCCCCCTTCAGATACTGGAAGGCTGCTATGAGGTCTCCATGCAGCTTCTCCTCTCCAGGCTGAACAGCCTCAAAGAGGCTGATGGGTGTAGAAATGATGGATGGGTCTCCAGCTCCCTCTCCAAGCTTTGGGTAGCAAGGATGTGCTTATGGAGTGTGGAATGACAGAAGGTGGTGGAGGATCAGGGCTTCTCTCCCCATGTCTCAGCAGTACTTTCTACTGGAAAAATAACACGTACTTTGATCTAAGCTGCTGCGGTGTTCAGTTTGGGGTTTTGTTTTCTTCTGAGTTTCATTGGGTTGTTTGCGTATTCCTTGGTAATGGTTGGGCTCTGTGATCTTAATGGTCTTTTACAACCTGACTCTTTGAAAACAGGCAGGAGCTAGGAAAATATTCTTTATTTCAAAGGCTGATGGAGAAGCTTCTTCCTGATGGGCCTCCATCACCAAGCTTTCTGTCATAAAAATGTAGTTGAAATATTATTTATGGGAAAAACCGTTCTCTTAAAGCCTTGTTTTTTCCACTCTGAGTCACTTTTTGGAGTTTTTTTGAGGGGAAGGAATGATTTTATTCACTTGCCAACTTTCAAAGCACTGCCTCGGAACTGGGATAAAGCTGTAACTCACCTGTTTATTTCTGTAGTTACACACAGTAATTGCTGGTTTAAGGATATCCTGTTTGCGAAGTTGTGCAGTTCATGTGTTATGGCAACTTTAATGGCCCTTGCAGTACATAGCAAGGGGATTTAGGTCCGTGGGCAGGTGCTTTTTACTTTGTTTTTTAATTCTAAATAAGCAAGCATAATGAAAATAGCTGTTAAATAATGAGAACATGTACATTAAAGACACTATTCTTCATGAAAGGAAGAGAAATTCACTCAGTTCAGGGCAAAGTCTAACTGCTAATGGACAGAAGAAACTTCCTTTCAGGCGGTTGTTCCATCTCTTTCTCCTTGGAATGTCTTGTATGTTCTTTCAGATCCCAGGGTGTCAGTCACTGCCAAGGGACTGTGCAGGTTGGGTGGGACAGCCTCAGGTTAGGCCACCTCTAGTAATTCTCAGCCTTTCATATCTCACCTACCCATCCATCCGTCTTGTTTGCTAATTAAATGTTGATGAAAAGAGACTCCCTGCAACCTCCCTCTTTCTGTTCCCTCGTGCTACTTCTACTAACCCCTGGATTCTACTTCTCTTTCAGAAGATGCTGCTTAAGAAGAATTGTGGAGCGAAGACTAGAGTAATTAAAATTCGTGTAAGTTGCCCTTTTCTGGTCCAGTTCCTGCATCTTTCCACATATATCTGAATGTGGTGATTCTTTGTGAACATCTATACCCAGAAGATTAGTTCTGGAGGTTTCCTGTGGCTTGATCAGCTGCATAACAAAAGCTGCTACTTGTAATTTAGGTTAGGTGCTGATGAGGCTAATAATACATTGGCTTTTCTGTTTTGGAGGCTGTGGGCTCAGAGCTTTCTTGGGTGAAACTCTGCATTCCCTGCTGTGAGCTCATACAGCTATGCATAACTGTCCTGTAAGGTGTCATCTGGATCCTTCTTGGCTGAGGGAAGTGCTAATGTGAGGTAACAAGTGGTGGTTGGTAGAGGTGAGAGGTACTGAGTAGGCAGCTGCAGAAGAGGGACTATACCTGCAGAACTGCATGGCATGTGAGACTGAATGATGACAGATGAGAAGGCTAGATTGCTTGGGTGGCTTTGTAGCCAGGCTGATACTACAGTGTCTGAGCATCTCCCATGCTTGAGCACACGCATGCTTGGCAGGGCTAGGTTTGCCCAACTCTCCTGCTTTTAATTTATGCTGCCTGCATCTCTGAGTCTCTGTCTCTAGCACCCTAACCCCTAACTTTTCAGCCAGCCTGTCTCTTCCATGGGTACCTTGGCGTCCTTTTGGTCAGTGCTGGATAGTGCTGTGAGAGATGTGTCTGTGACCTTGCACGCTGCAGCCAAAACCAGTGCCTTAGTCCACTGAGCCCCATCTGATGCTCCCCATGTTTGTGATACACAGGCAAAACCAGGTCAGAATGAACAAAAAAGATATCCTTTGTGATAAAGCTGCTACTTTCATTGCAGTAATTATAGTCTTGCAGGAGGGGTGAATGACAGACCAGGATCCTTCAGGGTTTATACCTTGTCCAGCAGGAAATGGGACTGATGCCTTTATGCACCCAGAAGTGCTTCTCTTTATGGGCATGCTGTTGAGTGCCCCTATCCATCACTGCTTTGTTGGTGAATTTGGTATTTGACAGGAGGAGGAGCAGGTTGGCCTGGCTAGAACCTTGTGGAGAGCTGGATAGTGTTTCTCCAACTCCCTTACATGCCTTCTGCCAGGGCACTTCAGTCCTGTCTTTCAGCAACACCACAGTGACCTGATACTTCTGATTGCACAATTAATCCTGATCTATTATCATCTCTTGTGCTCCTGCTTGGATTGTTTTGACTAGAGCTGTCTCCTCCTGTACCCTGTGAGCTCTCCCCATACCATGCCTGTCCTTCAGACCTACTGACAGTCTAATCCTGCTGCAATTAGTGCAACTCGTTTATCACCTTCCTTTATGCCTGTCCATGTGCTTCCACTATTTTTTCCGGGTGTTCCTGGATTTGTAGCTATTTTCCAGTGCTGCTTGGTGTCAGTCCCTGGGGTTCCAGTGATGCCTCAGTGGCGCGGTTTCCTCTGACACCTTGAGCTCATTATTGCAGGTACTCTTGTGTCCCTGGAGAATCTGAGAGGCAGAATTATCCCTTTGCTCCCTGCTGAGCCAATGTCAGCTCCCACTAAAATAAACAGCAGAAACCGAGAGCACACCATTCTGACAGATGGCACAGAATCCATGCTTCTCTGGCCAACCCTGCCAAGCTGTGACAGTGCATCTCTATACCTGAGCTGCTCATGTGGTTTCCATGACAATAGCATATGATACTTCACTGCCTTTTGTTGGTCTGTCAAGGTGGCAGAGTCATTAGGTAAAGGACCGTTTTTGCTTCCAGTTTTCAAGTGATTGCAAGTGCCTACTTTAGTATATCTAGCTTAGGAGGCAGCAGGTCCCTGGCAGAATACCTTGCTGAGGTGCCTCAGCTCTGGAAGCAGCTGAGAGAGGTCAGTACCTCTGAAGGATGATGCTCTGCTCTTGTCATATGAAGGGAAATCTCAATCCAGCCACTAAGACATGCTTGCTTTCTCCCTGTAGTTCTGCTGCTGGATAGAGTGACGGAGAAAGGATTACGCTTATTGCCTCCTTTGTGAGGATGATGATGGCAGTGACCTGCTAGTAACATCAATGAAGTATTTTCATCCTGTCCTTGCTGAGGACAGTGTTTCATAGAGTAGTGAGGTGGGGTTTTGCTTCTCCATGTGCTGTTTTAACACTGAGGTGTCACCTTATCACTGTTCCCTTCAGCTTCCCAAGGGGCAGCTCAGGTGGTGTCAGGCTACAACCTTTCTTCTCATTCAGCAGTTCTTAAGAGGGATGGTAGGACAGTGATGTGACGAGTCTAAGAACTTAAACAGATTAAGGCAGATTAATAAACTTCCCAAATGTCCAGCAGCACAGTTGTGTTGAAATGTGTTCAGGAATAGCAGCTGTGCAAGGGGAGGGCCTATAGTGAAGGGAAAATAAATGCTCAAAAATAATGCTCAAAAAATCTTGCTTCTGTTTCCCCCCAATAAAGGACAATAGGAGAATCTGCCTCTCAGACAGAGATCAGTTGGAGGTGACAGTGTGTGTATGAAGTATGGACCTGTACATAGTAGATACGTGTAGCATAGCACATGTCACTGCAAGGGGAGGGGTTGACATGAGCCTACATGGGTGCTGCACGGTGAGGTGGGCAATGCGTGTGTGCAGACCTGCTCAGCTGGTGTAATGTGTGTAACTGGAAGCAAGGCTGTAGGTGTGGATGAGGTATTTGAGCATCCAGAGCATGTTTGCATGGTTCAGCTGGGTGTTGCATGGAGACACTCCCTTAGCACTGGAAGGATGTGCTTGTGCTCACAGGTAACTGCCTCTGCCCTGGACCACGCTTGGTCAGCTGTAGCCAGCTCTGGAGGCAGAGACCCATCTTCCAAAGTCTTTCTGTAATACCACAGGTTTTCAGTTCTCCAGGCCCTTTTACAAGACACCCATCTAGTTCTATTCTTGTTCTTCCTTCACAAATTCCTACCTGCAGTCTCTGAATGGGCTTATCTCAGCAGGAGCAGCAGGTGGGCACAAGCCCCTGGGTATCTCAAGAGCTCTTGTTGGAGCAGGCAGAGAGGGAGTAAGGATTTCAAGGCCAATCTGATAACCTGGCTGATCAGAGAGATGTTTTCTGCTATGTAAAAAACAAAATAAGAATTTTAAATGGGAACGTAAACCCCTTGTGCTCTTGCCTTGATCTTATCAATGTTGAGAACGCCTTCTGCTTGGACAGAGGCCAGATCCCTGGAATGACTTCCCTGTCTTATATCTCTTGCATCTGCATCCTAAAAGGCCACTGCAGAAACATGCTAGGTTTTCTTCTCCTAAAATAAGGGACCTTTTCAGGTTGGAGCTGAGCAGGAGATACACTGACCTAAGCCTTCTTGGCAGATACCTGAGCCATTCACAAATGTAAAGCAGGCTAGGTGAGAGAGCAGTACTGGTGCAAACCTCTCGTTCTGGCCACACAGCATGAGGTAAAGGTTTCTAAAAAGCCAGAAGACTGTGCACATACACATATGTTGCCCCTTCCATCACAGGCTCCCAATGTGCTTTGCAAGCACTGCTAAATATAGCATCCCAGAGGCAGAGTTAAACTGAGAAACCAGCACTTGCCCAAAGAGACAGTGTGAGGAGACCTGAAGTCTGGACTTTGATCTTCACATGTCTTGAGCTGTGTCTTTATTTGTACCCTATCATGCAGTACAAATGTCTCTGACATTTCAGGCAGCAGAGATCCCAAGCTGCAGCTAGCTAACAGTTTGTCAAACTGTCCTGGTTGTCCTTAGTGTGCCTAAACCTGAACTTGCCCTTTAGAAGCAATGAGAGAGACTCATCTCCCTCGCTGATAGCATCCTTGGGTTACTTGCTGTGCAGAGGCTGCTCATTGAGGCTTTAACGTTCCAGTTCCCCGGGTGGGCTCCTGTCTCCTGTGGTTAGGCACATGTGTGCTGAGCCCAATCGAGAAGGTCCTCTGCTAAGTGAGAGTATGAATGTCATTAGCTTATTGAAGGAACAAGGTCCCCCCATGCTCCCAACTCAGCCCCTGAGCTGCCCTGCTCCTGCTGAGGGTCTCTGCAGTGATAGCTGGCCCTGGAGAACCCCAGCCATTAGTGTGAATAATTCCTGACAAAAGACTTTCTTTGTCCAGAGTTTCCTCTGGATCCAGTGTAGCCAAGGTGGGAATGCCTCTGTCTGTTATAAACAATCCCAAGCATCTGGCTCTAGACATTCTTTTATTTAGCATTGCTTTCATTAGGTTTCATGGCAAAGGCTAACTAGCCTTCAGCCTGTCCATAGCAGCCAGAAGAGGGGCTGTCATGTCTCTTTTTCTGCTTCCTTAAAGGATTTTTACTGCTGCCTGCTTTTCATAAAGTCCTGCTATGTGTGCCCTTGCACGCGTTATTTCATGTAAGTGCTTGCCAAAGGGATGTTGTGGGATCACCAAGAGCTCCATAATCCAGACAGCATTATGAAAGTAGAGAGTGGCTGGTGAGTCAGGAGGCTGACATCCTTCCTATTCCTATTCTCAGCACTGTCCTTGCTTTGTGGTCAGATGTGGGTTACGGGTCTGGTTTAAGAAGGGGGGTGTGGAAAAGGGGTAGAAAGCAGTTTAGGGCAGAGGTGCAGCCCAGTGACCAGCTGCTGCTGGGGCAGCCCTGGGTGTTGGTGTTGGTGGTGGCTGTGGCTGGCAGCAGCATGGTGCAAGGGGCTGGGAAGTGGCAAGGCATGTTTCTGAGAGAGGGGGACAGATTTGGTCACACCTGGGTGGTAGAGCAGAGAGAGAAGGGTAGGAGGTGGCAGAGGGTCACGGTGGCTGTGCCTCTGTTTTCCAGCAGAGCTTCGAGTCCAAGATGGCACATCAGGCATGTCTTTTGCCAGTCCCACTGCAGTTGCTCCCCGCTTCCCTTTGTTCGTGTGTTTGTGGGAACCTGGCACCCATTCCCTCTCCCAGTCCCCAGAGCTGTAACCCTCTTTTCCCACACACCTCTCCCATAATACACCTCCTTCCTGCACTTGGGGGCGGTTTGTCCAGAGGCAAGCGCACTGCGTCAGCGTGTGT